GAGAGGCTCCAGACGTGTGGTCAAACAACGAAACTCTGTCTCTAGAATCGCTCAGTAGGTACAGCTGTAAGTCGTCGAGCCACGTATCGAACTGGATCGGACGGCCCTCATGATCGAAGGTGAGTACACTAAGAGAAGCCATAGTGGGAAGAGCAAGGTGGCGCGCGACCAGCAGGGCAGCACGCAGGCAGGGCGGCGCGTGAGCACTAGGGAAGCGCGCAGGGCAGGGAGAGGCGGCGCACGGCTAGGGAAGAGTGGCGCGCGGCTAGGGCAGGGCAGGGCGGCGCGTGGGCAGGGCAGGGCGGTGCGGCTGCCAACAGGGCGGCGCGCGGGCAGCAGGGCGTCGGCCAGCAGGGCGGCGCACAGCAGGGCAGGCAGCAGCAGGGCGGCGCGGGCAGGGCGGTACGGGCAGCAGTGCGGCTGCCAGCTGGGCGGCGCGCGAGCAGCAGGGCGCCGGCCAGCAGGGCGGGCAGCAGCAGGGCAGCTCAGCGCGGGCAGGGCAGGGCAACGCGCCAGGCAGGGCAGGGCGACGCGTCTAGTGGGGCAGCGCTATGTGGTGGGCCCTAAAAAAAACGGTCCTGGAACAGGACTTGCTCTGAAACCATGTCAGAATACTGAACGAGAATCAATGGATTGAACAGAAAGTTGGTACAAGTACTAACCTTAATTGGGTTGCACTACAGCCAGGGCTGACTTTTCAAATTTAGGTACCCTGATTTCAACCTAAAAAAAAAAAAAAAAAAAAAAACCCTGAAGGCACATTTTCCAGAAAAACAGCACCCTGATTGCTCAGGGTTGAGAAGTAGTGAACTCTGAATGTTCAGGGTCGAGAATTGAAAATCAGGGTCGTAGTAACGCGCTCTTTCTTTACCGAGGACAGAAGTCTCACTCAATCAGAAGTCTCATTCTTTACCCTAATCGCAACATGTGCTCGAAATCTGACAGTCTATTTCGACCAATAACAGCAACCTACCGTAAACCCCCGTATATAGGACCCCCTCCAGTTGTAGACCCCCGGGTCTATAATACGGAGGGGGGTACTCTATTCGAGTCTATCCGAGTTATACCCCCCTAAATGGCTCCTGACATTATAAGACCCCCCACATCCTAGAGAAGTGTGTATTTTCAGCGAATGCAATGGAAAATGGTCCTATTCCATGTTCAGGTACAGACAATCACACACATGAACGCGCATGCACAAGCCAATTATCAGCCTAATCCTCTCCAGCAACCCAGATCTCCACCTCCTCCCCCTCGTATCGCCCTTCTGCCCACCACTCATCGCCATCATCCTCCTCCTCACCCGCTCCACCCTCCACCTCTGCACCGCCTTCCTCCTCACCCTCCTCACCCTCCTCGTCCTCCTCGTCCCCCTCCTCCTCGTTCGTGTCCTCCTCCTCCTCCTCCTCCTCCTCCTCCTCCTCCTCCTCCTCCTCCTCCTCCTCCTCCTCCTCCTCAGCTGAAGAGGAGGCAGCATCCTTGTCCTTGCTCGAAGGGGCAGCAGGGTCAGGATAGAACGGGTTGAGGACGAGCTCCTCAAGCTCCTCCTCGCACACATCCTCCAGCACCTCCACCTCCGCCTTATCGCGGAGGTGAGCGAGGATCAGATGATCCTCGCTTCCGTCGACGGCGGTGGCGATGCCGCAGGTCACGAAAGATTTCTTGATCAATTCTTCTGGGACGTCCGCCCAGGCCTCCGCAATCCAGCAGAGAACCTTCTCCGGGGGAGGTTTCTTTAAATTCCCTGCGGGAAATGGCACGGGTAGGGGTAGACGTGAGTCACCACACAGTCAAGGCACACTGTGAAACGGATACAACTCACGTGCTTACCTGCAGGGGTGAAAGACTCAATGCCCTCATCTTGGAACCACGTGGAGTATCGGTGGCGAACCCCGGCCTTGAAGCTGCGGTTCACCGAAACGTCCAGGGGTTGCACCAGCGAGGTGCAACCGCCAGGGATCACCGCGCGCGTGAGCTTGAAGAGCTTCATCATCTGGCCGACTGCTTCCATGGTGTGCCCTCGGTAGGAGTCGAGGATGAGGAGCGCGTCCTTGCGCTGCCCTTCCGCTTCACGGTGCGGCTTCAGGAAGGGGACGAGAACCTTCGTTGTCCAGTCTTGGACAAGGTTCTCGTCCATCCAACCCTTTTCCTGGGCTCGCACGACAACACCTGCACAACGAAAAAGAAAGATTAGCGGTGCAATTCCCTTCACCAGAACATCCGGTAAGTCACAACTCACCTCGGGGTATGGGGATCTTCGGCAAGGTCTTCCGCTTGAAGACCACATACGGAGGGAGCTTCAAGCCGCCCGCGGTCACCGCCAGCATGACCGTGACGCGCTGCTTCTCGTACCCCGCGGTGCGCACGTGCACGGTCCGAGCGCCTTTCATCTCGAGGGTGCGCTCGGCAGGCATCTCAAGGAACAGGGGTGTCTGATCCGCGTTCACGATCAAGTTGAAGGGGTAGGAGTTGAGCACGCGCATCTGCCTCACGAATTCCCAGAAGGCCTCGCACCTCTGCTTGCAATCTGCATCGCACGGGATAAGGAGGAGTCAGGCCAGGTGGTTATGGTAGGAATTTACATCTGAAAACTTCGGAAAGGCCGAGGTCATGGTACCTGCAGCTAGCTTCTGCCCAATCTTTGTTTTCACGCGCTGCGCGAGGGACCACCGCCTGCGGAACCTCTTAGTCCAACGGTGGGACGAACACCACTTCGCCTGGGGGTGGCGATGCTTCATGTAAGTCGCCGCCCACGTCTGCAGCAGACTCACGGAAACCGGCAAGCCTCTCCCACGGTGCGACAGGAACCTGCGGTAAACCGCAACCTCCATATCGGGGTACTTTGGCTTTCGTCCAGCACCAGTGAGACGTTGGCGACACCCTACCGCTTTGTCGAGCCGCTCCTTCAAGTTGCGCCAATCGCGGATCTGCTTCGGCTGGACTTTGGCGAGCTTGGCCAAACCTCGGACGCTCATAGGGGGCTGCGCGTCAAGCATCTTGAGCCAGTAAAGCTTCTCCTTGACGGTGTAAGCTTTCCGCTTCTTCTCCGTTCGTCGGCGCCTTGTCTCCGGCGTCTCTGCGTCACGCACCCGCTTCTTCTGTCCCCGCGGTCGGCTTGATTCCGGAAATACGGGAACCTTCACCTGCGGAAGCGGACGGCGTGGGCTCCCGCTGGGCTCCTTATCTGTCTCATCGCTGCTAGAGGAACTTGGCGTTGGCATGACGGGCCTGGGCGAAGGCCTAAGAACAGGAGGCTTCTGGACTTTCTTGCGGCGCCCGCGTCGAGCATCGGACGTCCCAGCATCTGGTGATATCACCATGGCGGCTAAAGTGGGGATGAAGTGGCTGCTAGCTTCCAGGTGAAAAAGGAACAGGCAACCATCTTTTAGATGGCAGCCAGCCGAGCACAGTAAGGGGGGAAGAAACAGGAGGAGGAAGTGAAGTCAGCCCTAAAAAACAAGGACGTGCCAGACGACAGTACGGGAGTCTGAAGCTCCCGCCCTATAGGATCGCACGAAGCGTGCATGGGGTGTGCAGGTCGAGGCGACACTGCGCGCCGGGCCCATCAAACGGTGCCCTTCTCGCTTATGTCAACACCAAGTGATGTTTGTGCCCAATGGGAGGAGGCTTTTAGATAGGGTACGTGATGATGTGGGTTTGGCCCAGGAAGAGACCAGTCCGAGTATATTTGGGAGGTGCTAAAAACGGAGCAATTCCAATTCACTTCTTTGAGCTCCAAAACAGTAGACTTATAGAAGTCAATTTGAAAAGACCCGGGTCTTATAAAATATGTACCATTTAATTATACCCCCCAACTTTTTAAGGCCAGATTATCATAATACCCTAGGGTCTTATATACGGGGGTTTACGGTAAAATCTGACATTACAGATTCGCCCGATCTAGATGGTGGGTGTATGGGAACGAAACTTCGAAGAAACTTCGTCTCGATAAAGCGAGGGGGGGGGGGGGGGGGGGTGGGGGGGGAGGATTACGCACGTGGGGGGCACTGAAATCAATGCGAAGGGGTTATCAGGAGGAAATTTCCGAGAAACTTCGCCCCGATAACATCGCATTCAGGGTCCACAGGCCTCGTACTCTGTATTGACAGGGTCCGTGAAAACCCTACACTGAGAGTGTACACAAAATTTCAGGGTCCGCTAAAGCAATACTCTGAATGGATCAGGGACCAAAATGTGAAAAAACCTGATTTCTCAGGGTCCAGAGAGTGACAAGTCTGAAATCACCCTGAAATCAGGGTAATTACCCTGATAAAATCAGCCCTGACTACAGCGTACACAGTGTAAGCATTATAACATTTTGACACAACAGCAATTACAGTCAAATATTCCGTATTCCTTGTAATCATATAAAACCTTTTATCTCTTTTCTATAGTCAAACTCATCTTGTTCTCACATACTAGTGCAAGGTGGTTCAATTAATCCACTATTACGCTTCCGCTAAATACATTACTACTCTGAGAGTTTAGTATTGAAAACGATCCTAAGGACTTTTTCAGCCCAACACGATGACGATTCTACAGTCCCATGCAGGCGATCAGCAGGAATGGAGTCAGACGCTGGTGCCCTGTGCCTTAGCAGTGATGTGGTTCTAGATGTTGGTGGGCAAGATGTCAAACTCCCAACAATCATTTCTACCCCACCTAACAAGTCTCATGCGTACATCGACTAGGTAGAATGCAAAACGCCTTATTGAGCCGCATTTAAGCGAGCCTGAAGGAAGCCTTCCACCCGTTTGCGAAACAGGTCGTTCCCTGACGCAGCCTCCATGCGAACAGTTACAAACTCGCATACCTGCAAGCAACCACATCCTCACCTCACCATTCTTGTTGCCACCCACGTCCATACTCACTGCCCCTCTCCTTCATCGGTCAATCCTAGCTCCTGTCATAGCTCGCAATCGAAGGTAGACTAAGCGAGAGCGTTAGTGGATCGGACATTTCCTCCTGCCTGATTTGCGTGTGCTGTCGACCGTCCGATCATGGGCTTCGATCCAGGTACGCAGCCTCAACGTGAGACCTAATCTCCCAAGCTTCGCGATCGGAAAGTTTACGGACACAGTCAATCGCTTATGTTTCTAAGCACTCCTGAGGCTCTTAATTTCGGAGTTGCACGGTTAGAGTCGGTACGTCGGTCGCAGCGTTCCTGGAATGTTAAGATGCTGCAGGCGAGTTCGGCCAATTTCCGCGTAGGAGACGAAATGCTTTTTCGGCCCGGAATGATTCAAGTATGCCTCTCGCCGCTCTGAAATCAGCCTATTTCTAGCCTCGTTTAAACACTCATAGGGCATTCTATCGTTTCCCAACACCGGCGTAGCAGATGACATGCTTTCTCGGCCCGGAAGGAGTGACGAGGTGGCTTTTGAGTCGACTCAAAAGTCACCCCAACACCGGCGTAGCGGAGGACATGCTTTCTCGGCCCGGAAGGAATGACGGTTGCCTTTGACGGTTGCCTTTCCCCGACTCCCCCTCGGCCTCCATCCCCTCGTCCCTCCCTCCATCCCCTCCCCCTCCAGCTCTATGCGCTCAGTTTCTTTCACACGCCTCTCTTTCATCGCTCTCCTCGTTTCTTTTCTCATTTCTCACCTGCCCCTGTCTCGTTTCGATGGGGCCCCACAGATGAGGTGGAGCGCGAGGAGGAGGAGGAGGAAGAGGAGGGCGACGATGTGAACGGGGAGGACGACGATGAAGAGGAAGGTAGGGTTGCGCGGAGGAAGGTACGCGCGCAGAGGAGGGTAGAGCGCGCGGAGGAATGTAGGCGCGCGGAGGAAGGTTGGTCGAGAATCGGGAGGCATAGCGAGAGGAGGAAGTTAGGGGGCGGACATGGGGCGAGGGAAGGGAAGGAGGGAGAGAGGGCAGACGATATTTATATTTGGTTGGGCTATCTAGAGTACGACGTTTAAGGTGCCTCAGAAGAGGTTTAAATTGGGCGAATTTAAAGTACGGCAACATAGGAGTGGTGAGGAGGCTCAGCGTTCTGCCGGTCACGTTATTGTCTATCAGCGGGGTGGGTCGGCTGCGCCGATTGGCAGCCATGTTGCCTGCTGCCCTGCCAGTCCCTCTGATCTCGCGTGCGTGAGTCTTTCTTTTCTAATCGCGCGTTGCGTCTCTTTCGTAATCGCCGTGCGTGTGTGTGCGTCTTGTTTTCGGTCGGGGCGAGCAGAGGAAGGGCAGGACGAGTACGAGAAGGACGGATGGATGGTGGACGGTGACGAGGAGGAGGAGGAGGGCGGTGACGGCGAGGAGGAGGAGGAGGGGGGCGAGGAGGGGCCGGGGAGTGACGAGGAGCGCAGGGAGAAAAAGAAGAAGAAGCGCCGGAAAAGGTGAGGAGGGGGATACAAGGGGTGCCAGCACAAGGTGCTCTGCGGTTGAGTGTGGTGCTGCTGGTCTCCTTGCCACGTCCACCCACTCTGGCTGGCCTCTCTCCCCTCCCATGCCCCTTGCCCCATCCCCCTATCCCCATGCCCATTCCCCATCCGCCATCCCCCAATACCCCCATGTGCCATGGCCCGGTGAGCAGGGAGGAGGAGGAGGACGAGTTGGACGAGGACGACTATGTGCTGCTGCAGGAGGGCGGCGTGCTTTGAGGCACCTTAAAGCTCAACCTCCCATTCGACATCACCCAATCCCCATGCGTGTGCTGTGTCGCAGGGAGGAGGAGGAGGACGAGTTGGACGAGGACGACTATGCGCTGCTGCAGGAGAGCGGCGTGGGGGGCTTTCACCGCCCCGCCAAGGTGCGTCCATTGGGGCAGGTTAAGAAACCGCGGCCATATGTTGTTTGTCCTGCTGTGAAGCGGCATCTTATAGGGTGGCTGCAGTGACAATCTGAGCCTCGCGTCATTAGTGTGTGTGTGTGGCCGTGTATGTATGGCCGTGTATGTAATGTCAACAACTGCTTTGGATGAAGGCGGAGCTTATGGGCGTCACGTCAGGAAGAGTGCTGCTTTTTCTTGCTTATCTGGCTTGTCTCCTCCCCATGCATGCACACTACACAGCACAAACATGCCTTTGATTTGTGACTGTCGTGATCCATGGGGAGCGGAAGGGCAAGAAGTTCTGCTTTCCCTCCCCATGGGGAGCGGAAGGGCAAGAAGTTCTGCTTTCCCTTCCCACGGGGAGCGGAAGGGCAAGAAGTTCTGCTTTCCCTCCCCACGGGGAGCGGAAGGGCAAGAAGTTCTGCTTTCCCTTCCCACGGGGAGCGGAAGGGCAAGAAGTTCTGCTTTCCCTTCCCACGGGGAGCGGAAGGGCAAGAAGTTCTGCTTTCCCTCCCCATGGGGAGCGGAAGGGCAAGAAGTTCTTCTTTCCCTCCCCATGGGGAGCGGAAGGGCAAGAAGTTCTGCTTTCCCCCCCCATGGGGAGCGGAAGGGCAAGAAGTTCTGCTTTCCCTCCCCATGGGGAGCGGAAGGGCAAGAAGTTCTGCTTTCCCTCCCCATGGGGAGCGGAAGGGCAAGAAGTTCTGGAGGCTGATGAAGGCACGCACGGCCTCGCGACACATGGGAAGGGGGTGCGAGGAGGAGGGGGGCTGCTTTCCCTTGCTCATTTGGTCTTTTATCTGTCCCCATGTCCTTTGGCGTGTGACTGCCCTGTGCCTTGCCTTGCCTTGTGTTTGCCTTATGTGACTGGTATGTTATGTTATGTGGTGTGCGCTTTGGCAGAAGGACAAGAAGTTTCGGCGGTTGAAGAAGGCGAGGCACATGGGGGGGGACGAGGACGGGTTGCTGATGGACGACGAGGAAGACGAGGAGGGCGGCATGCGCGCGCAGCAGCGCGTGGAGAGGGAAATATTTGGGGATGAGGGTGAGTGAGGGGAACGTCCAGGGATGGGGGTGGGTAGGGTAGGTATGTGTCTTGCATATGATGTGAATGAGGAGGGGTTGCTGATGGACGATGAGGAGGACGAGGAGGGCAGTATGCGCCCGCAGCAACGCGTGGAGAGGGAGATTTTTGGGGACGAGGGTGAGAGGGATATGGGCAATCAGGCTGAGAGGTTTCTGGGATGAGAGGGAGTCTTTGTTCTGGGATGAGGTTGTGAAGGGTTGGGGGGTGAGGGGGGTAAGCAGCATGTGTTTTGAGTAGCAAGTGCCGTCGCAGTTTGAAGAGCGTTAGCTCTCTTGGCTCCTCGCGTTCCCATCCCAGTCTTTTGGCTCCCTACAATCCCTCCCCTTCCTGCTGTTTCCCACTATAAATTCCGTGCACTCCTCATCTTTGCCTCTTCCTCCTCTTGAGGCGCCTCAAAAAAAAAAAAAAACTCTTCCCCACGCTGCTGTTTCCCACTATGAATTCCGTGCTCTCCTCATCTTTGCCTCTTCCTCCTCCTCCCCACTATCCTTCCTACCTCCTCCCCCTTCCGCCCCCCTCATCCCATCTCTTTTCTCTCGCTCCACCCCTCCCTCGCTCCTCCATTTCCTCCTGTCCTCGTCTCCCCAGACGTGCCTGAAGATTTTCAGGAGAGGGAGGGCAGGGGCGAGGAGGAGGAGTTGGAGGAGGAGGACGGGGAGGAGGAGGAGGAGGAAGAAGACGAGATGGCAGACTTTATCGTGGAAGGGGGTGTAGACGATACAGACGAGCATGGGCGGCGCCGCCGCAAGAAGAAGAAAAAGGGCACGCGCATGCCAGGTGTCACCTCCGAGGCACTTCTGGAGGCGCAGGATATTTTCGGTGACGTGGCGGATCTGTTGGAGCGGCGGCGCGTGGAGCTGGAGAGGCAGCGTAGGGAGGGAGGGGAGGGAGGCGCAGGGGGGTATTACTATGAGGATGGGATGGGGACGGAGGGTGGGGAGGAGTATGGGCGGGAGGGCGCGGGAGGAGCGTCGGCGCTGTCGAAGCAGTATGAGCCAAGCCTGCTGGAAGCTAAATACATGACGGAGCGGGATGAGGCCATTCGAGCCAGAGATGTGCCTGAGAGGCTGCAGGTGTGTGGGCGAGGGACGTGCCTGCCTGAGAGGCTGCAGGTGTGTGCTGGGAAGTGAGGGTGAGCGATGGTGCTGTTGAAGCAAGGCAGTATGAGCCGAGCCTGCTGGAGGCCAAGTATATGACGGAGCGGGATGAAGCCATTAGAGCCAGAGACGTCCCTGAGAGGCTGCAGGTGTGTGGCGGGACGTGAGAAGTGAGAGTTGAGATTTCGTTATGGGGGCTGGGCTCTTACCCTTGACTCCCTCTCCCCCTTCCCCTTTCCCCCCCACCCTGCCCCTCCCCACTTCCGGCTTTCCTTTTGGTAAACATAGTCGCGCGGCGCGCCTCTTGCATGGCATGTAGTTCTCTTCCTCTGTGGAGAATTGAGAGCTGGTATCGGGCATGGCAGGGGCTCCTCCAACCCCTCGCCGCACCCCCCCTTTTCTCCTCCCCCCCCCACTCCCCTCCACTCCACTTGCACTGCACTCCCCCCTCTTGCACGGCATCCGTTGTGCTCGCTCATCGTCGCACCTCCCCCCCCCCCCCCCACCTTAACTCCCCTTGCCCACCACACCTACCCCCCAGCTGCTCCCACCCAGAGAGCGAGGACCATCTACCCGAGGCCGAGTGGATCTACGAGCACGTGTCTGGCGCCCTGGCCCCCGACCACCTGCCGCGCACCCATCAGTTCCTCTCTCTCATTGCTGCACCTCCCCTTCCCCTCCCCCCTTCTGCTTCCCCCCCCGTCTCCCGCTCCCCCACACTCCCCCTCCTCCCCCTCTCTCCCCTTCCCCCTCTCCCCGCTCTCCCTCCTTCTCCAACTCCCCTTGTCCACTTCACCTGCCCCAGCTTTTGGAGGAGGTGGTGGGTGTAATCCCTGAAAACGAGGACCATTTGCCGGAGGCCGAGTGGATCTACGAGCGCGTGTTTGGCTCCTTAGCCCCCGACCACCTGCGGCGGGGGGAGTTCTCGTACGTCGCTGACGCGGAGAGGCGCGCCGCCACGTGCGCACGGGAGGACGTGGAGAAATGCCGGAGAGAGGCCATGGCGGCGCGGGATGGGGCGATCGAGCAGATTGCGGCTGTGCTTGAAGAGTTGCATGATGCTAAAGTGGAGGTAAGGGGTGTTGAGGGAGGGGGAGGGGGAGGGGGAGGGGGGGAACGGGGGGAATGAAGGCGAGGCGTTGTGTAGGGTAGGGCGTATTGTTGCTTCAAGGCGACTGAGCAGATTGCTGCTGTGCTGGAGGATCTGCATGATGCTACAGTGGAGGTGCGGAATGGGGATGATGAGGGGGGGGTGGGGGAGGGGAAGGGGGGAGGGGGGAGGGGAAAGGAGGTTGAGTGTGAGGTTGTGTAGGGTGCAATGTTGCTGTGTTGAGGAAGGTGTTGCTGTGTTGAGGAAGGTGTTGCTGTGTTGAGGAAGGTGTTGCTGTGTTGAGGATGGTGTTGCTGTGTTGAGGAAGGTGTTGCTGTGTTGAGGAAGGTGTTGCTGTGTTGAGGAAGGTGTTGCTGTGTTGAGGAAGGTGTTGCTGTGTTGAGTATGGTGTTGCTGTGTTGAGGAAGGTGTTGCTGTGTTGAGGAAGGTGTTGCTGTGTTGAGTATGGTGTTGCTGTGTTGAGGAAGGTGTTGCTGTGTTGAGTATGGTGTTGCTGTGTTGAGGAAGGTGTTGCTGTGTTGAGTATGGTGTTGCTGTGTTGAGGAAGGTGTTGCTGTGTTGAGTATGGTGTTGCTGTGTTGAGGAAGGTGTTGCTGTGTTGAGGAAGGTGTTGCTGTGTTGAGTATGGTGTTGCTGTGTTGAGTAAGGTGTTGCTGTGTTGAGTAAGGTGTTGCTGTGTTGAGGAAGGTGTTGCTGTGTTGAGTATGGTGTTGCTGTGTTGAGGAAGGTGTTGCTGTGTTGAGTATGGTGTTGCTGTGTTGAGGAAGGTGTTGCTGTGTTGAGGAAGGTGTTGCTGTGTTGAGTATGGTGTTGCTGTGTTGAGTATGGTGTTGCTGTGTTGAGGAAGGTGTTGCTGTGTTGAGGATGGTGTTGCTGTGTTGAGGATGGTGTTGCTGTGTTGAGGAAGGTGTTGCTGTGTTGAGTATGGTGTTGCTGTGTTGAGGAAGGTGTTGCTGTGTTGAGGATGGTGTTGCTGTGTTGAGGATGGTGTTGCTGTGTTGAGGAAGGTGTTGCTGTGTTGAGTATGGTGTTGCTGTGTTGAGGAAGGTGTTGCTGTGTTGAGGATGGTGTTGCTGTGTTGAGGATGGTGTTGCTGTGTTGAGGAAGGTGTTGCTGTGTTGAGTATGGTGTTGCTGTGTTGAGGAAGGTGTTGCTGTGTTGAGGATGGTGTTGCTGTGTTGAGGATGGTGTTGCTGTGTTGAGGAAGGTGTTGCTGTGTTGAGTATGGTGTTGCTGTGTTGAGGAAGGTGTTGCTGTGTTGAGGATGGTGTTGCTGTGTTGAGGATGGTGTTGCTGTGTTGAGGAAGGTGTTGCTGTGTTGAGTATGGTGTTGCTGTGTTGAGGATGGTGTTGCTGTGTTGAGGAAGGTGTTGCTGTGTTGAGTATGGTGTTGCTGTGTTGAGGAAGGTGTTGCTGTGTTGAGGATGGTGTTGCTGTGTTGAGGATGGTGTTGCTGTGTTGAGGAAGGTGTTGCTGTGTTGAGTATGGTGTTGCTGTGTTGAGGAAGGTGTTGCTGTGTTGAGGATGGTGTTGCTGTGTTGAGGATGGTGTTGCTGTGTTGAGGAAGGTGTTGCTGTGTTGAGGAAGGTGTTGCTGTGTTGAGTATGGTGTTGCTGTGTTGAGGAAGGTGTTGCTGTGTTGAGTATGGTGTTGCTGTGTTGAGGAAGGTGTTGCTGTGTTGAGGATGGTGTTGCTGTGTTGAGGATGGTGTTGCTGTGTTGAGGAAGGTGTTGCTGTGTTGAGGAAGGTGTTGCTGTGTTGAGGAAGGTGTTGCTGTGTTGAGGATGGTGTTGCTGTGTTGAGGAAGGTGTTGCTGTGTTGAGGAAGGTGTTGCTGTGTTGAGGAAGGTGTTGCTGTGTTGAGGAAGGTGTTGCTGTGTTGAGGATGGTGTTGCTGTGTTGAGGAAGGTGTTGCTGTGTTGAGTATGGTGTTGCTGTGTTGAGGAAGGTGTTGCTGTGTTGAGTATGGTGTTGCTGTGTTGAGTAAGGTGTTGCTGTGTTGAGGAAGGTGTTGCTGTGTTGAGGAAGGTGTTGCTGTGTTGAGGAAGGTGTTGCTGTGTTGAGTAAGGTGTTGCTGTGTTGAGGAAGGTGTTGCTGTGTTGAGTAAGGTATTGCTGTGTTGAGGAAGGTGTTGCTGTGTTGAGTATGGTGTTGCTGTGTTGAGGAAGGTGTTGCTGTGTTGAGTATGGTGTTGCTGTGTTGAGGAAGGTGTTGCTGTGTTGAGGATGGTGTTGCTGTGTTGAGGAAGGTGTTGCTGTGTTGAGGAAGGTGTTGCTGTGTTGAGGAAGGTGTTGCTGTGTTGAGGATGGTGTTGCTGTGTTGAGGATGGTGTTGCTGTGTTGAGGAAGGTGTTGCTGTGTTGAGTATGGTGTTGCTGTGTTGAGGAAGGTGTTGCTGTGTTGAGGAAGGTGTTGCTGTGTTGAGGATGGTGTTGCTGTGTTGAGGATGGTGTTGCTGTGTTGAGGAAGGTGTTGCTGTGTTGAGGATGGTGTTGCTGTGTTGAGGATGGTGTTGCTGTGTTGAGGAAGGTGTTGCTGTGTTGAGGAAGGTGTTGCTGTGTTGAGGAAGGTGTTGCTGTGTTGAGGAAGGTGTTGCTGTGTTGAGGAAGGTGTTGCTGTGTTGAGGAAGGTGTTGCTGTGTTGAGGAAGGTGTTGCTGTGTTGAGGAAGGTGTTGCTGTGTTGAGGATGGTGTTGCTGTGTTGAGGAAGGTGTTGCTGTGTTGAGGAAGGTGTTGCTGTGTTGAGGAAGGTGTTGCTGTGTTGAGGAAGGTGTTGCTGTGTTGAGGAAGGTGTTGCTGTGTTGAGGAAGGTGTTGCTGTGTTGAGGATGGTGTTGCTGTGTTGAGGAAGGTGTTGCTGTGTTGAGGAAGGTGTTGCTGTGTTGAGGAAGGTGTTGCTGTGTTGAGGAAGGTGTTGCTGTGTTGAGGATGGTGTTGCTGTGTTGAGGAAGGTGTTGCTGTGTTGAGGAAGGTGTTGCTGTGTTGAGGAAGGTGTTGCTGTGTTGAGGAAGGTGTTGCTGTGTTGAGGAAGGTGTTGCTGTGTTGAGGAATGGTGTTGCTGTGTTGAGGAAGGTGTTGCTGTGTTGAGGAAGGTGTTGCTGTGTTGAGGAAGGTGTTGCTGTGTTGAGGAAGGTGTTGCTGTGTTGAGGATGGTGTTGCTGTGTTGAGGAAGGTGTTGCTGTGTTGAGGAAGGTGTTGCTGTGTTGAGGAAGGTGTTGCTGTGTTGAGGAAGGTGTTGCTGTGTTGAGGAAGGTGTTGCTGTGTTGAGGAAGGTGTTGCTGTGTTGAGGATGGTGTTGCTGTGTTGAGGAAGGTGTTGCTGTGTTGAGGAAGGTGTTGCTGTGTTGTGGAAGGTGTTGCTGTGTTGAGGAAGGTGTTGCTGTGTTGAGGAAGGTGTTGCTGTGTTGAGGAAGGTGTTGCTGTGTTGAGGAAGGTGTTGCTGTGTTGAGGATGGTGTTGCTGTGTTGAGGAAGGTGTTGCTGTGTTGAGGAAGGTGTTGCTGTGTTGAGGAAGGTGTTTGCTGTGTTGAGGATGGTGTTGCTGTGTTGAGGAAGGTGTTGCTGTGTTGAGGAAGGTGTTGCTGTGTTGAGGAAGGTGTTGCTGTGTTGAGGAAGGTATTGCTGTGTTGAGGAAGGTGTTGCTGTGTTGAGGAAGGTGTTGCTGTGTTGAGGATGGTGTTGCTGTGTTGAGGAAGGTGTTGCTGTGTTGAGGAAGGTGTTGCTGTGTTGAGGAAGGTGTTGCTGTGTTGAGGAAGGTGTTGCTGTGTTGAGGAAGGTGTTGCTGTGTTGAGGATGGTGTTGCTGTGTTGAGGAAGGTGTTGCTGTGTTGAGGAAGGTGTTGCTGTGTTGAGGAAGGTGTTGCTGTGTTGAGGAAGGTGTTGCTGTGTTGAGGAAGGTGTTGCTGTGTTGAGGAAGGTGTTGCTGTGTTGAGGAAGGTGTTGCTGTGTTGAGGATGGTGTTGCTGTGTTGAGGAAGGTGTTGCTGTGTTGAGGAAGGTGTTGCTGTGTTGTGGAAGGTGTTGCTGTGTTGAGGAAGGTGTTGCTGTGTTGAGGAAGGTGTTGCTGTGTTGAGGAAGGTGTTGCTGTGTTGAGGAAGGTGTTGCTGTGTTGAGGATGGTGTTGCTGTGTTGAGGAAGGTGTTGCTGTGTTGAGGAAGGTGTTGCTGTGTTGAGGAAGGTGTTGCTGTGTTGAGGAAGGTGTTGCTGTGTTGAGGATGGTGTTGCTGTGTTGAGGAAGGTGTTGCTGTGTTGAGGAAGGTGTTGCTGTGTTGAGGAAGGTGTTGCTGTGTTGAGGAAGGTGTTGCTGTGTTGAGGAAGGTGTTGCTGTGTTGAGGAAGGTGTTGCTGTGTTGAGGATGGTGTTGCTGTGTTGAGGAAGGTGTTGCTGTGTTGAGGAAGGTGTTGCTGTGTTGAGGAAGGTGTTGCTGTGTTGAGGAAGGTGTTGCTGTGTTGAGGAAGGTGTTGCTGTGTTGAGGAAGGTGTTGCTGTGTTGAGGAGGTGTTGCTGTGTTGAGGAAGGTGTTGCTGTGTTGAGGAAGGTGTTGCTGTGTTGAGGAAGGTGTTGCTGTGTTGAGGAAGGTGTTGCTGTGTTGAGGAAGGTGTTGCTGTGTTGAGGAAGGTGTTGCTGTGTTGAGGAAGGTGTTGCTGTGTTGAGGAAGGTGTTGCTGTGGTTGAGGAAGGTGTTGCTGTGTTGAGGAAGGTGTTGCTGTGTTGAGGAAGGTGTTGCTGTGTTGAGGAAGGTGTTGCTGTGTTGTGGAAGGTGTTGCTGTGTTGAGGAAGGTGTTGCTGTGTTGAGGAAGGTGTTGCTGTGTTGAGGAAGGTGTTGCTGTGTTGAGGAAGGTGTTGCTGTGTTGAGGATGGTGTTGCTGTGTTGAGGAAGGTGTTGCTGTGTTGAGGAAGGTGTTGCTGTGTTGAGGAAGGTGTTGCTGTGTTGAGGAAGGTGTTGCTGTGTTGAGGATGGTGTTGCTGTGT